ATAATATACAAGTAAGCAGTTAGTCAGTTTCTACCGCAACTAGCAAGGTTTCCCTAGCATTTACTTTCAAAAAATGCATTTGAGTAATTTACCAAACTGTTGCTAACCAGTAAACAACTGATAAATATTTGCTGATATACTTGTAATTCTCTGTTGTTACATTGGATAGAATTGTTCGACCTCTGTTGTAATATGGGCTCCTATGCAAATGTCTTGATGTTGCCTGAATACAAGAGGTGATTATCGTGCCTCAGTGGCCTAGTGGATTACGCTGTGGCGTTTGAAGCTATGGGTCACGGCTTCGAGTCTCAGTAGGAACAACATTCGCTGGGGTGCGCTTATATCCAGCTGACAGGTCTCAGATAGGACGAAACGTGCATCCTGGATTCCTCTGCTAGCCACGACCAAGTAAATTACCACAATTAACTGAAAAAGTTACGAAAGTTTGGCTTATATTTGCATCGATTCAGCAAATCATCATTAACAACCAATCAGACACACTATGATGCAGTAGACTCATCTTACAATCAACTCTTTGGTTAGGTAAGAAATTTAAAATTACTAGGTTTTGAGAACCATGAGTCATACTATTCCTCATTTTTTCAATCGCTTTTCTATAAACCATCAAGGTCTTATATGCTATTAACATCGAGTTTTGTTTGAGAATAGTTGAAAGTTTCGGTAATGATCTTCAACAGTTGCCAGTGTTTTCGAGCTCTTACTTTACTATTGAAGTCATTTCCTGACAGACCAGATATATTACGCTCAGGCAATAAACACAACCGGTCCGTACATACTGTAGTCAGGTTAGCGAAAGAATGAGTTTAAATGACCACTGAACTACTGTTTTAGAAGGTAGTATACGTAGAAAAAAAGCCCTTCATGTTACTAAAACATAAGCGTCACCTATCAATATATATTTAAGTGATTAATTGATGCCTCATTATACAAACAGTTCAAGGTTGGGTTTTCGACTGATTCTATATGACTGAAAACAGATCTGAACACCATTCATTGATTCAATACTCGAAAGATATTATTAGTTAATTATCAATTACTGCCATTATAGTGTCTATCTTTAAGTATGCATATCTAAAAGAGTAAACTGAAGAGGAAAAACAATTATCGAAAACTTTCCAGGTTAATATAATCATTATCATTTATATTATCATTCCGCGACAATATTCATGGGATTTAGCTTTATTTTTCTCCTTCCAGTCTACTTGTTTTAATCACAAAACCCGAAATCATCAGAAGAAACAGTAAGAATAAGAAGAACTGTTCCTGGCTGGTTAGGAATTTCTACCGAACAAACTGTTCTGAAATCTTTACATTATATTCTCAGTACTGAATAGCACAATATTTGGTCAACTGAAGAAAGTGGAAGGTCAACCAAACTGAAAACTGTCTTCGTCATGAAATGACATCAGATAGGAGTTAGCTGGAAAATCACAGACATTTGTAAACTTTTTTAAAACTGTGTTTAACTTCGCTTTCTTCTGAAACTGAAAAAAATGTTTGACAGAGTCAATAAACACTCCTGTTGGTATTTCTGTACTAGAACTCTGGAAACTCATCATGGACCGACATCAACTGGAGAAAAACTGGAAACCTGAGAGCATTCGACTGTTGTTTCTTCCTAGTTTGGGACTCCTCAGCAGTGGGCACCCAGTACCCCGCCCTTCAGGGATCAAACGCAGGGTTTTTAGGTCCTACGAACAATACGTTACCGCCCAGCCATTGTACTGGAATCCAATAGTCCGTTTCAGTTCAGGATACAGTGTGACCTCCACCCAATACTGCAGATGAGTAACTGTCCTCATTTTCGACTCGGTTGACCCCACCGGTCACGACTTCTGACCTCTCAAAGTTAGTCTCCAATTTGGACTAGAATTATTTAGTTTGGAGGTTTGTGAAAATTACTTATTGATTTCAGGTTGGTATTCATCATGGGCTGACATCATTTGGAGAAACATTGGAACCACTGGACAGCTTTTTCGCCCTGCTGTGGGATTCCATATTACATATTTCAGTAGGATCGACCTGATTTGTTTATGACCACTTGTACTACATGATTTTGAGATAATTTCCGATCTGTCTAACTAAATAGTCTTACCACATGTTTGAGTACCATTCTACACAAAGCTATGAGTGATGAAAAGTGGAAGTATTTAAGTTGGATGTCAAAAATTGGTCGGTTAAAATATAATGTATTTATGTACACTTTTTATAAGTGAACTTCGTCAGTGAAACACTTTGCTGTTCAACTGGAGTGACAAAACACTATACTGCATAGTCTGGTCCCCGTAGCAACTGGTAGGTACTCTGTTATTATTTGATCGGAGGGTTCGATATGACTATTGATATATAACGGGGAGTTGAGATTTGGTGACTTAAATTAAGCATCTTTGGCCTGAAAACTTGAAGTCTGTGGGATACACGTGATAAAAACTTGACAGAGGAGTGAGATATGCACTCAAACTCCCCTTCGTATATTCTATTCAACTAAAATTGTAATCATAATACCTAGTAATATGAAACCTAATTCTGAAGTTTTGTAAAGCATATTTGCAACAATCTAATGGTAAGCATGGTGCATTGGCATAATAAGTCATATATCACTGTATTCCTGACAAAAAGGATTTTGACCAACACAGAGGATAAGTGAAAAGCATCTTTACTACTTGACCATCAATTCTTGAAAATTTCGGCAATTGTTTAGATTATCCTATGCAGACTGTTGAAAGAAGAGTACTTGAATCGCAAAGAAAGGTAAAGATTAGCATAGATTTCAAATTTAACTTAGTAATACATTTAAACAATGACAAAAATGCGTGGTTCGCTAATTTGCAAGAAAAATTCATCTTAATGTCATATTACTTCGTTTATAGTTGCAGAGCATCATTACAAACCAAATTATATTACTTTTTATCATTTGGTGGTGAATTATTGAACAGCGTCGCATGCACATTTTCAATGTCCAATAAACAAATGAATACTTTTTACTGGACAAGCTACTTTTTCAGAGAAACTTTATTTGTTGATGTTTACACATGAGTGGGTGGGTAGAATCGCTCTCTCTCTCTCCTCATGTATATATATATATATATATATATATATATATATATATATATATATATATAAAATTGGTGCGAGATAGTCTTTTCCAATAAAGAGTACAGATAATGTGTATTGAAGGACACTCTGTTGAAGAGAACACTTCAAGTTAGAATACGTAGTTTGAACGAAACACAAAAACAGAAAGACTGAATATAAGATGAATCATTCACTCTGCAATTGTACACAGAGACAAAAACATACTGGAGATAAACAAAGAGAGGTAGACAGAGAGAGAGAAAAAGGAAGACATTGGTTTCATATTTCCACTTGGGTTTATATGTTTTTATTTGGTTGACTGATATCCCATTAACCTATATATTGTTTGGTCTTCACATTTATGCAACTCAATATATCAAGCAGAAAATGTAACGGAACACCTAACGATATTTTACTACCTAGATTCAAATAGTGTAAATGAGATCAGAGATCGTGTTACCTCACTGAACTTCCCAGTGTTTGACTGAATAGTAAAAGTAGCCTTCCAAATAACAACAAGAAAAAGATCGTGATAAGTACAATCTATTCGACTTGGATTCCAACCCAATGGCTCAATAGCAACGTGCTGGTCACAGAACCTGAAGTTCCTGGGTTCGATTCCTAAGGGGTTGGGTACGCACTGGTGAGGAGTCACATACTAGAACGAAACAGCTGTCCAGTGCTCCCAGGCTTGTAATATCTCTCTAACTGATGACAGTCCATGATGAATGCCAACCTGGAATCAATGAATGGATCCCTTCGAACCTCCAAACTGAATGAAGACCATTGGTTTCCTAATTTTGAAATATCTTAAGTCCTATTAACCATTGTACTTTTAGACTGTATACAGCTGAAGAGTATTCATGAAAGAAAATGATGATAACATTTTTATTCTGCGAATTTCGTCCTTCTTGCTTTGCCCAAGAGATCTAACAGAATGAGATTTGATAGATGCTGTTGATTCATAATTCAAGATTTACTATCATCCACTTCCGTGTGAAATCGCTAAAAGCAGTGAATTTTTGCACATTTTATATTCTGCTTGTGGGCAAAGCGGTGTAGAAACGCATAGTACTGCAGTGAAATATTTTTTATTTACAAAAAAGTAGTCTACAAGCATATTTCAAGTTTTCTCATATCTTATAAGAGAATTTTGGGAAATTGAAGTGAACGTTTCTTTCTCCCACTTTCTCTCTCTCACATACACACACACACACACGTGCACACATACTATTGCGGGTTAATTTTAAATGGAAAGAAAATGAAACCTGGGAGCACTGGACAGCTGTCTCGTCCTAGTATGGGACCCCTCAGCAGTGCGCACCCACCACCCCACCAGCAGGGATCGAACCCGCGACCTCCAGGTTCCGTGGCAAGCACGTTACCATTGAGCCACTGGGTCAGAACCCAATGCTCCATATTTCCAACTTCTGTTAGCTCACAATATAACGCAACCACCACCCAATGTCATCGTTGAGTAACTGTCCTCAATTGAACTGGTGCTCATTGGTGCCTAGCTTCGAGAGGTTTTCCCGAAGCTCCAATGAGAAGTCGTGACCGGTGGGGACAAAGCCTGATGGTCGTGAGGACAGTTACTCAACGATGACATTGGGTGGTGGTTGCGTTATATTGTGAGCTAACAGAAGTTGGAAATATGGAGCATTGGGTTCTGACCCAGTGGCTCAATGGTAACGTGCTTGCCACGGAACCTGGAGGTCGCGGGTTCGATCCCTGCTGGTGGGGTGGTGGGTGCGCACTGCTGAGGGGCCCCATACTAGGATGAAACAGCTGTTCGCTGCCCGCAGGTTTCCTTTGTTCTTCCAACTCATGTCAGTCCACGATGAATAACAACTTGAAATATTTCCAAATCCCCACAACTCCCTCGGAATTCAAAAGAAAATGAGTTGGTATTTTGATAACATTTTTCTTATGATCTAGAGAACTACATAAAATGTGCAGAATGCAATATAAAGCGGGTAAAAAGAAAAGTTTCTAGAGGAAAACGGTCACGGTAAGAAGCTTGATCACGGTTGTACAACGACTAATGGCCAGTGGAGAAAAATCAAAAAGTATGCAAATGAAGACAGGGAAAAGAGAGAGGGCAAGAGATGTACACTGATGTAGATTTATGCTGACAATGAACTAAGTTAGGAATCTACGGTTTACATATCTAATATGTTATGAAAAATATGGAAACATGAACACAATTTTCGATAGTTTTTTCACTATCAACGAGGTGGGGATGATAAAGTAGGGGAAATTGCATTATATTTCATTTCCTCCTGGTTACTTTCCATTTTTTTATCATTATATTAGATTGGAGTTTGAGTATTCTTGGCCAAAACTTCTTCTTGAAAATGCTTTTTACAATACAGGATTCGATCGCTTTGATTGTAATTATTCAGACTTGCGATTGAGAAGGGGAAAAGAAAATTAAAAGTGCAAAAATTCATGAACTCGTGAACTCAAACCTAAATCAATCATCAATGGTTAAAGTAAAGTAGAAATATCTTAAGATGTTATTTTGTTGGAGGCAATCGGCAGGAAACCCTGGACTTCGGTTTCGTGCTCGTTGGCACTCGTCAGCAAGGCATATTTGCAGCCTTGACGGAACTGATGTTCCGCCCGAGATTAGAATCCGCGTCATCCAGTGTTGTAGTCAGCGTCTTTACCACTGAGCTAATATGGTCGATAGGATTCTGTCTGCATTAGGACTAGACAATGTGAAATTGGCTGCACTTCCATCACCAATCAATACATGTAAGCCAGTCCTACAGGAGGACAATCGTGACCCGAATACCTCAGTGGTAATACCGCTGGCTACGACACTGGGTGACATGGGTTCGAATCTCATGTGGGACATCAGTTCCGACGAGGTTGCAGATAAGCTTTCCCGACGAGTGGCAAAAAACTCGAAATCTAGTTCGAGGGCTTCCTGCCGATTGCCTCCAACTAACTAGCAAATTCAAAACTTCTACCTTAACGGCTGATAACTTGGAATGGTGATTTTGGCTTAGGTCACTTTCCATCAGAAACACAAAAATCTCTTTCATTAACTTCTTCCTCAAGTTCTACAGTTATCATGTTCGTATTGTTCAATCAAAAAATAAATGTATACAAACAGTATTGAGAGTATATATAACAAACATTGGTTAATATTCAATAAGTTGAGGATTTCCTTCAGAAATGGGTTCCACGAAAGACATTGTCCGAGTCAAATATTACTGGAATTCAGTTCGAAATAACTAATTATATCGATGATAATATATCTTATGTAAAAAATGCATGGTCAGAATCATAGAACTGGTATTCAAAGTAAGCGATTGGGAAAGACAATGGATTTCATAGTGTTGATTAGTTATGACTAAAGACTAAAAGTCATCTATATTCGCCCCAGTGATGAAATTCATTGGAATAAACGAGAATGAGATCAACAATGATGATCTAGTGGAAACAATAGGTTGAGGTGTACAAATGTATGGGGACAAAACTGTAGGAATTCGATAAACTCAAAATTATGTTTCAGGAGTCAGAAATTCCCCGATTCAACCAACTGCTGTAACAAGGCGCTTTAGAATTTGTCGATCCAAACAAAACCTAGCCGAGGTAATAGTAACGGCTGTACCTGATTCTTTTTTCACACATAATTCAGGCTGTTTAATTTACCTGGTTAGGACTTCTGCTGTCTGAAGTATTCGGTATGTGATTGCTTTTGTGATATAACGGGGACACGGTAAAAATGATAGTCTGTTTGGATTAAGTGAACTTATTGATCTTGGCGACTAGGAGAGGAATCCACGACAAGCTTTTTGTCCTATTTCGGATTTATCAGCTGGATATACCTGCACTCCAGTGTGTTGTTGTTCTCACCACGGCTGCCAACATAGGTCGAGCAGTCCAACCCTGTTTAGCAACGTGAAATTATAAATATTATAAGTGAACTAATATTGAGATGTTTTCGCTACGCCTTTATTCAACCATCTGACGTGTTCATGAGCAGGAAAAAATTAATATTGTCTGACATAGATCAGCAAAACTGACTCCATAGGAGCAGCTAAACTGATAAATACAACAAGAAATAGCCAGCCTAAGCAGCTGATCTTTTATCCTCGGCAACACAACTGACTGAGGACGTAGAAAATATAACCTGAAATCTTTTTCGCATTAAAAGTTCATTGGCTAAGTTCGTTTCAGCTTCTGAATTAGAATCCTGCCTGTTGCTTTTCCTCTAATTTCCATTTTCATTTAAAAGCGTTGCTTGTTCACAGTTAGAATACTTTTTTCTACTTTCGCTGTCACCTGTATTTTTTGTGAGCTGATATAATATAAATTTATTACAAATCTCAAGTTGTTCTTCATCGTGGACTGACATCAGTTGGAAGAACAAAGGAAACCTGCGGGCAGCGAACAGCCGTTTCGTCCTAGTATGGGGCCCCTCAGCAGTGCGCACCCACCACCCCACCAGCAGGGATCGAACCCGCGACCTCCAGGTTCCGTGGCAAGCACGTTACCATTGAGCCACTGGGTCAGAACCCAATGCTCCATATTTCCAACTTCTGTTAGCTCACAATATAACGCAACCACCACCCAATGTCATCGTTGAGTAACTGTCCTCACGACCATCCGGCTTATTAGAAAATTGATTCTCTCCGCAATGCATAAATTTATCATAGATATAATTATTTCGCATGGTAATAACAATAATAGTAACTAAATTATTGATTTGTACCACATACGGAGAGGAAGGAAGACAGTGGGAGGATAATTCAATATCACATAGGTCCGAAGTGCAGCCGCACTCATGATCACATGTACACTTTATCTTAAAAATCTATTCGATCACATATGATGAAGCGATAGTCGTTTTTCTGAAGGTAAAAACAACCGTGACTATCATGTGAAAAAATTAGAAGTCAAGATACTTCTTTACACACACACACACACAGAAATGCACAGATGGACATCCATATTACTTCCACTTTTGATGTAAATATTCCAGCCACGTATACATGTTCAACTCTGTTTCAGTTTACATTCTGCCTCTTATGACTACCACTGAAAAAGCTGAGAGTATGTATTTGTCAGTCTACGATTGATAACAACTTGAAATGTTTCCAAATCTCCACAACTCCCTCAAAATTCAATATTTGTGTCTTTGACGGTCAACTAAATGACATAAAAATTGAATAAATCCATAAAGAAAATTGATGGACAGCGGATAGGTAAAATATGTTCATCTTTTTCTTTTTCTAGAAAGCAATACAGAAGTGATCTTTGTCACTGTCATGTAGTTTTATTTTCATCCAGTACTTTTTCATTTCAGTGTTACACAAAAAGAGTTATGCACTTTAAACTAACCTCTTTAGTAGCATATTTCGAATTCAGTAACCTAGCACTCCTTGTCTGATTGTGAAAAACAAAATCTCTTTCACAATGATTCATACTGAATAAGATGAATGTTGTTGGTATTCCATCAGTGTGGGCTATTTAGTGAAGTTACATGAAAGTCTTCAGTGTCTTTTTTTGAACAGTATTTGGTATCAGTGAGGGATAGTGGCTAGCAGTCGGATCCACGGCACGTGTTTCATCCTATTGGGACCTATCAGCTGGAAGTACTTGCTTACCCTTCAAGCGCTCACTGGCAGGTAACTACGTTCTGTTGACTGAATCACACTGCTAGCTGCTATCCATCATCAACATCAAACTGAGATGATAGGCAATATTGAGGCATCCATACAGGAGCCCATATGCCAATGGAGACCGGTCAATTCGGTCCAATCAGCGACGGGATAATACAAGTAAGAACATAGTATTTGGTGTCACTGAAGTTTACAACTTGTTTTTGACATGAGTTTGAAAAGCCTCAACAGAAATTTTAAAATATTATCTAGGCTTCCTTGTTAGACGGTACGAGTAGTGCAGAGTCAAGTGATTAGTTCTATGCAGTTGTAAAATTACAGCGCTCACACACACAATCATCTTAACCGGATATGACTGAACTTTGGTGGATGCCCGGAACAACCCCGGTTGGACAGACAATTAAACCTAACAAGTGAATGGTCCTCTTAACATGAGTGGTAGTAGATAACCGGACCAAAATGTTGGAGGCATTTATTACAGATCCTCTTGCTATCTAAGCCTTCCTTATACTTTTACCTTCATCCCCCTTCAGTTACTGTCATTTATTAGACATAACTTTGAACAATAAAACCTCTACACTCAAAATTCGAGATATCAGATGGAGTTTTATTTCTTTCCGTTTGGACTTTTATTACTTTATATCTTAGTTCAAGTTGGTTGGTTTATGATTTTACAGAAATAAACAACGTAAGAAATAACTCAGGATTCTCTAAATCTGTACATCTCATATCCTTTGTCAAGAAACAATATCCGATACTATACTTGTCAGATCATTTCATACAGTAGAAAAAGGATGTCTACTGATAAAGGACGGTTATTGAGTTACGCAGTTTAAAAAACGCGTCTTTTTTTACTACACATTCACAATGTATGTCCATTTCTGGATAGTTTCGTGTACACCCAGTTGGGTAGAAAGTAAATTTAGTTCATACCAGATTTCAAGTTGTTATTCATCGAAGACTGACATCAGTTGGAAGAACAAAGGAAACCTGCGGGCAGCGAACAGCCGTTTCGTCCTAGTATGGGGCCCCTCAGCAGTGCGCACCCACCACCCCACCAGCAGGGATCGAACCCGCGACCTTCAGGTCCCGCGGCCAGAGCGTTACCATTGAGCCACTGGGTCAGAACCCAATGCTCCATATTTCCAACTTCTGTTAGCTCACAATATAACGCAACCACCACCCAATGTCATCGTTGAGTAACTATCCTCACGACCATCAGGCTTTGTCCCCACCGGTCACGACTTCTCATTGGAACTTCGGGAATACCTCTCGAAGCTAGTCACCAATCATACCAGATTGTTGAATGCCCTAATACACATCATTTCTACGGTGGAATTAAGTTAATGAAATACTTATCTTATTGTCCACATTATGATGTCATACATACATGAAACAATTCCTGTCTGTCCTTCTGTGACTCCATTAGCGACCTCCACCTCTTCACCTTACGCTAAAGTCAATAAATATACAGTTCAACTTATTTAAGCATATATTTACCATAATGGGAAGAAACTATACCTTATATGATAGTTTGCGCTAATTATTACGTCTTCAAGGTTTTAGACAGACCTTTTTTATTACTTGAAGTCGAAGAAGTAAGGAACAAAGAAATAATAATTAACATTATACTGAAAAGATGACTTAATCCCATGATTTTTGTAGTTTTATTACCTAATACTGAATAAATAAACTTAAAAAGCTAAATATTGGCTTTCTAAATCCAACTTCTAAAACTCTATTGACTAACTTTATTTTTAAAAGCCCCAACTCCACACTTACGACAAATATCATGATGATAACTGTAGAGTCACTGAGATAGTTATCATCAGTTTCCGTAATAACTGCAAGCCTTAGCCAAAAATCACATAATTTTGTATGTATTAAATGAAAAACAAAAATTTTCAAAGCTTTAACTCACCAATATTCAAAGAAAATTCTACTGTTTTCTTATCTCTAAATTCAAGAACAGTAAGGTTTCTGGATTCTGTCATATTGTTAAATGGTCTTAAGGTCTATGAACCTAGGAAAATGGTTTTAACTTTCCTGCATGCCTAAGAACTTCTAGCGTCATTCTTTTCACAATGGGAAAATACTGCCTTGCAGCTATAAGTTGAGAATGTGAACAGAAATTAATTTAGTTATATCCAGGTTAGCTGTGCACTAGACATAGTTATTTTTTAGAGTTCTAATTCATTGCTTTAGAAAGCTGACTTTCAACAGGTGAGATATTGGTTCGAATCCCACCTCATCTTTATGGATTTGTGCAGTCAGGTGGCATCATATGCCGTAATATAATAGGTGTAGCTAAACGCCAGTTGTATGAAAATGAACTTAGTCACTAAGACAGTGTGGGTTTTACAGTTTAGTACTTGGTTATTTAGTTCATAACGTAGTACTATCGACTGATAGTGTTTAAACGATGACCACCAAAGCCTTACTGAATGGGTATCAAAGTAAATAGCTGTTAGTCCACAAATACACTACACTAATATAGTAATGAGCGAAATTTCGGATGTATTCTTTGGAGTGAATTTAAACGTCATCCTAACAACCATTGAAATACCCAATTGGTTCCTTTAGCATCTAAAAATTCCATCTTTTTGGGCTGCAGTTAAGAGACAAGATCAGAAAAATAGGAGTCTAAAAATCTTACTAACGTACAGTGTTTTTTTGAAAATTATTGACCCGTCATCCGGTGTGTTTAATGTATTCAAAATTTAACTTTAGGATGATACGGAGGTAAGTGGCATACTTACCAAAAGTACTACTAAGGTGACAGTAAAGTTAAACAGTTGAAATCCATTTGAGAATATGGAATTCCATAGACAGTCAAAATTTTCTTTATCAAATTAGAAAGAAAGCTAAACTAATGGAAATGTATCTCCCACGTATTTTCGAAACAACAAGCCCGCAATTAATTTTTAATATCTTTCATCTCTATAGATAAGTGTTCTGTGTTTGAAATATCAGTAATTTACCTTTCTGAAGTAAGTTATTAATGAACAGTGAGTCACGATTCATATTACCGATTTTGCTGGTTTTATCAAGTTGAGGATTCCGTTGTAATGGTTCTAGGGTAACTAGCTCATCAATAGATTTGAGAGTGCAAAGGATTCAGAAGGAATACTTCTTTCAAAATACTATAAAGCAATGAAATAATTGAATCAGTAATCGAAGTAACTCATGATTAATGAATCCGTACATTGACCGGTCACTGGAAAGCAAACAGTCTCGTTTTCTTCAGTTATAAGTGCTCACTGAATGGATCATTAGTAAAGCCTGGGAATTCTGGGAAACATCTGTTCCTTAAAATACCGCAGAAAGCCTGTGTTGATGAATGAGTAAGTGTCAGTCATAGGCTAAGAACTTGCTGATTGCCATTATCTATCTAACATAAACGAATTAATGCTCCAGTACTTAGAGCATTACTGTCTACTGATATACAAATTACTGGGATGGACAAAATAACGGAATGGAAAGAAGATAAGCGTAGAGAGGAGCTGATAAAACAGAAGAAGAACATCTTGCGGTAAAATGCATATTAGTTAGAAAGAGGAGAATAAAATTGAGCAGTTTATAACCCTTGTAGTCACATTTACCTATGTAAGAGTTTGAAAAAATTTAACTGGAACTAAGTACACAAGATTCTTGTAATATGCATCATTCACTCACAGTCAATCGTTAAAATGTCTATAATATTTCAAAGTCCAATACAATGTGACTCTACTGAATGTTTAACTAGTCAAGAAAATCTAGTGTAAATTTCAACAGATGCTAAGTGAAGAATAAAGTTGTAACAGAATGCTTGTAGAACTTCGCCTGGTTAACTAGTTCACTAGTTACTAACCCGTCCTAAGCCCGGGTAAAGAGGGAAGGTTGGACATAGGGCTAGCAAAAAATCCAACCGCTACAAAAATTTCAAAGCACAGACAAAATATAAAACATAAAAACAAACTTATTCCTAGCTGGAATTGGAGAGACGAAATGACGCCGGTTGGTGAAAGTCTTCGGGAAGCCGATCGGCCGGTGTGTCTTCTCTCGATGAAAGCGAAAGTAAGGATGGGGAAATGGAATGTTCGCACTACGTTTGAACCTAGCAAGGCTACCCAGGTTGTAAAGGAGGTGAGAAGGTATAGCAATGAAGTGCTAGGAATCTGCGAAAGCAGGTGGAATGGAAGTGGACTCTCTCAACTGTCAACAGGAGAAAAGTCAATAAATAATCTACTCCGATATTTTCACCCAGACGACACTACGAGCACACTGAGTTATGGAGTGGCTATCATGATGTCCCCAAGAACATCGACGTGTCTCATGCAGTGGAAGCCAGTCTCCTCCACCATCGGTATCATGACATGAAGGTTCAGCTCAAAAGGTGATGAGAACCGCATCCCAAACATTCTCAAAATGCCACTCAAAGTGTCCAGAAGACTCTGCAGTCCATGATGAATCCCAACTTGGAAAAATCACTAAATCCCCGCAAACCCCCAAATTAAACAATCTGTATCAATTGGTAAGTATTAACCTGTCAAGAAAACTTACCAGATATCGTAACCAAGTAATTAAGTGACTAACTATCTAACTGGAGAGAAAATATGAAATCTGTTAAATTGATGTGCTGGTTCATTTTTTTCAAGCTTCTTAGGATTATTTCAAATGAATATCAACATAAAGGAATAAGATATTTTAAGTTTCGTGCCTAAAATTTACCAAAGGTGGCCTATGAATAGGATAGTCGAGTGTTAGTCGGTTATAGCATCGAATTAATTGGCCACCGTTAACATATGGGCTCATGTTAAGAGACTTTGGTGTTGTCAGTAACTTCCTTTGATACACACTTTGATAACGCTCTGGTGTTTAAAATGAGAGGCATAGGGTTTGATTCTCGTTGGCAGCGACATCATTCAATTGAAGGTAGTTACACCCGACTGTCTTGTCCAAAACAGGGTTAGATGGACATACTTGATATAGCTGTTGGTCACTTTCCATCATTAGTATAAGCGAATATTGAGTATTTCGAAACGCAGACATCAGCAATACATCTTTTGTACTGATATCTCTTTTCTCAAATATTCCGTGTATCAATCTATCTAGCTTTTATCGACCATACTGAGTTATATCAGCAGTTATTATTGACCTTATGTTTTAGCGAAATGCCTTAGTCATATCGCCTGCAAACTTTTTTCATCAAACTCAATACTGAACCAAAAGAAGAAGTTTGAATAAATGGTGGTGGAACGCAGCTGTTTTGATCAACGCAGCTTAACATCAGTACATTTATGGCCTCGATATTGCCTATTCAGTGGTTTCATACAACATGTGATCAAACCAAATGTAATAAATATAAAACACACACCAAAAGTTATTATGCTTCGGTTAACTGTATTCAAAAGACTGCATGTTTTTGAGTACCTCAGTGTAATATGACAATACTGTTTAATTCAATCAAAGAATCTCCAGGGAGAATGAAACTCCGTGACTAAATAGAAGCAGAATAAGTTACTTTCTAAGATGATAGTAAGACCAATACTATCTAAGTTAATAGCCAGAAGTTAAAGCTGTTTGCTAAGTTAATCTCTTTGAATGTTGGTAGATATAATTCTTACCTTCTGCTGAAATACCGATGTAAACAGTTATATTAAAAATCGGTAACATGTTAGTGAATGCATATCGAAAGGATTTATAAATTACCACAGTATGAATGAGTCTTTTGGGATCATAACTTATGGAAAAATTAGTGAGAAACAAACGCACATGAATAAAGTTGGTTTCATCATTTGATAATACTGAATGCTCTAAGCCATAATCTTCAGGTCATCTTGATAGCAACAAGACATCGACAAAACAAACTTGTCTTACTTTCATATGTAGAACAAAGTTCATTATAGCGCTGGATGATTGAATACTATGACAAGAACTTTTTGAACTCAGATCTTGTCCCTTTTACTTTTCGTCATCCTGCTTTACCTGTAACCATAGACAAATTCTTACTACCTGGATAACTTAACCACCCTATTCAGTATTAAAACTAAGGGCATTAATCTCTGACTTATTCAACTCATAGACAACCTCCTTCAGGGGTAGATTCAACATAAAGGTTTATTACACTCTGATTTTCAGCTTTGATGTAAATCTAATGAAAGGACTTCATCTTCTTCAGCCAGAAGTAAATTCCTTGTAGTTGAGTTTCAACAATCACAAAACTCAGATCTAAAGCCTTTTGTTGACTTGACTGCAGTAACAATTGAACCAAAAGAGAATGTTGAAAAACCAAAAAACGGCATACAACAACAGCTAGATAATGATAAAACTTACTTCAACAGCATATCACATTTTGAACAACAGAAACAACGTTTATGCCATATATTCCCGCCAGCTTCCATCCTTTCAGCCGCGTAAACAGATTTATCGCAACGCACACACTTCTCTACTTTAGCCTTGATGGAAAAGAAATAGATTATATAAGGGTAATTGCTTGATTCAATGGTAGCAAAAAGATTTTCATCTTGTTTTATTGTTATCTCAACGGCCTAACACGACTTATGATCAAATTGTTTTACTTAACAATTTACTTCGTCACTTTTGAATGGAAAGTCAGTTAGGTCCTCCCCTGAAAAACTGTAAGGCTCAAACCTGACAAGTTCAATGTACAGTAAGATAATCCAGATAAAAGTGAAAATGATGATGAATAGTGTCTATGTGCAAAGTATGCTAACTATTCAATAGATAGTAACAAAGTGCTTGGATTTCATTATTTCTAATGAGAGGAGTTATAACTGGCTCCAAAGTAACTGCATCACAAAGAACTATACGCTGTGAATAGCTGAAATGTCTTACATGAAACGCTTCAGTTCACTTTGGGAAGAGAACATAAATTGACCAAATAAAAGAAGTCGTTATCACAGCAGCCATCAAGACAAAGTGGGAGATGCCGACCAACATCCCTGAAGAAACCTGTGTGGATGAACACTGGAACTCTTTGAAAGAGATGTGGAAAGAAACCTGCATAACCGTATTAAGAAGGAAGAAGAAAGAAGACAAGGAATGGATCTGGACGGACATATTGAAGCTGATAGGGTAGAGGAGGATGTTGAAGCAGAAGATAAAGCAGTGCAAGGATGCTCAACGAAAAGAAGAACTGAGTACAAGGTATAAAACACTGGACAAAGAAGTGAAGAAGAGTGCACCGAAAGACAAAAGACACTTCCACGACACATTAGCAAGTGAAGCAGAACAGGCTGCAGGTAGGAGAGACCTGACAACATTGTATCAAATAACCAGGTTACTATCTGGCAGGGAAGAGATCAACACAGATGAAACCAATACAAGATGATGAGGGAAATCTAATTACCAAGGAAGAGGAATAAAGGAAATGATGGGCTGACCACTTCAAAAAGCTCTTGAATCGACGACCACCTGAACTTCGTCCAGAAATACCACCTGCAGCCACAGAACTACAAGTGAGCACAAGCCCTCCGACGAAACTCGAAGTCCTGAGCGCCATAAAGTTGCTGAAATGCAGGAAAGCAGCAGGACCAGATGGAATCCCGTCAGAAGCACTGAAAACAGACGCAGAGACAACAGCAGACATGCTCACACCACTATTACAGAAGGTTTGGAAGGGAGGGAAGGTACCTGCAGATTGGAAGGGCTACCTGGTCAAACTCCCGAAGAAGAGCACTGGATTCAGGAAATACAAATCATGTGCAAATCAAATTGCAACGCTATGCATCATCATAGAACAAAGGATAGAATGGCAGTCAACCCTCTACCTCAACTTCATCGGTTTTGAAAAGGCCTTTGACAGCGTCGACCAAGAAGTAATTTGGCAACTGCGTCAACACTACGGAATACCACAAACCTTTATCAACCTCATTCAACAACTATGTGAAGACACCACATGCCAGGTGATTCACAATAGAAAGCTGAGCTCAGTGACGCCTTTGAAGTGAAGACAGGAAGGCGTAAGACAAGGCTGCCTACTATCATTTATGATATTCCTGATTGTAGTGGACTGGATCATGCAACAAACCGTGAGGAGAGAGAAAAGGGGGATACTCCGGACCGGGGAAAAGATCCTAGAAAATTTGGATTTCGCCGATGACTTGTGTCTAATGTCGCACAAACTCGAGGATCTACAGGCGAAAACTAACAAGTTGACGGAAGAGACAGCGAAGACGGGCCTTCAAGTGAGCGTAGAGAAGACGGAGATGATGATGATACCCAACCAACAACACCACCAACAACAACAAACTCCAATCACCATCAACGGGAGAAACTTCAAGGAGGTAGCCTCTTTCAACCTATCTAGGCAGCACTGTTTCAACTACAGTCGGCGGTTGCACAGACGAGGACATCAAAGTCAGGATCGGAGAAGCAAGACAGGCGTTCATTAACCTGAAATCAGTGTAGAGATCTACTGCACTCAGCATAAAGAACAAGAACTGGATTTTCAACACGAATGTCAAGTCAGTGCTTCTGTATGGCTCAGAGACTTGGTGCGTCACGGAAAGCATCTCCAACAAACTACACACATTCATCAACAGCTGCTGCCCACGCTCACTCGATACTGAAGATCAGATGGTCAGAATAATAAGAATAAGCAACAAGGAACTCTGGGCTAGCGACGAACCAACCAAAAACCTATCACCCAACAAATATGCACTGGAAGAAAGTGGGGATGGATTGGACATACACTGAGAAGGTCGACTGGGGACATCACGCGCCGGGCCATGCACTGGAGTGGGACCCAGATGGGGAACGGCAAATCGGGCGCCCGAGGCGAGGGTGACATGGATGAGATCGTGTGAGGAAGAAATGAGAGCTTGTGGGTAGTCGTGAAGCCAGGTTCAAAAGATTGTAGAGAACAGATTGGAATGGAGACGTGCTACTGAAGCCCTATATTCCACTAGGAACCCAAGGAACAAATAATAATAATAACCATAATGTGAATATTTGTACCTATTGAAATCTGGTGACAACTTTGTTCAGTGTGAATGGTTAATCTAAGTATGTACTGATACTGTATGTATGATACTCTGAGCAATAATATAGGTTGTTCTAAAATCTTCATTAAGTCATAAAACAAAAGGCACTTAACGAAGAGTCACTCCTTTCAGCGATATCATTCTCAACCTATGCAATCACATATAAATATTCTACTGGCATAGAAACCGAAAAGGAATATTTCATGAAATATTTTGAACGATGTTCAGACTTGATATTAAATCAGGAGATCAAAAAAAGGGAATAGGTCTGGAAAGCGAACGCTGAGTACGGCCAATATACCTTAGTCCACAAGAGCAAGTGAGTTGATAAACACACATCGAGGTGGTCAAGGAAGCTAGCTTATCCGTTGCGCATAATCGAAGCATTGGGTAAGTAGGGAAAGTTAATCTGAGTCTAGCAGTATAGAAAATCTTTCTCAATGAGCATGCCGAATGGTTTCTCAATATATCTACTGATATGTTCCCGTTGAAATGTAAGCTCATGAAAAGAGGTCTCTAAGGAGCTGTAGAACTCAAATGATTATCTGCTTTCAGTTTCTTAGTTTTGGAAGTGAAGCATCAGGACTGGAGATAGTGTGGATCCTATGGCACATAGAGCGGATTAGATTGCTTTTGGGGCATACAGGCATCCAATTATGAAAATGGATAATTTAAGCGTAAAATTTAGGCAGTGTGGTAGGATCTAATTCTACACATTAGATTTGTTCATTTCACATATAGCACACAGCGATACAGTATTAAGTACTTGATGACGTCTAGAGCATAAATTATTATCGCTCATAGTCCTGTCACCTCATATCCTCTGTTTTTATCAGTAGTAAAAGTTTCGACCTCTCTGGTATAGGTATTGCGTCATTCCTGATACATGTATTGGGTTTTGATTCGATGGACAAAGATTCAATAATCAATCCCCATCTCTCTCCGCCTAATTATATTGAACTACGGTACAGTGGTTATCTCAACTTTATCTTACCCTACTGTGTGGTTATGTGTTAATCCATGAATTGTGATAGCCGAGTTTTTCCAGATTATTGATCTTATTGGGGTCTGCCATTCTATATTTAGCTAAATTCCTACATTCCACTAATTTAACTGACCTCGACCGGCTAGTTTGACATATTTACTTGATATTATAGTCGTTGCATGGAATTTAGTAGCTTAGATTACTTTCCTTAATCGGATCTATCGGATCCTTAAGCCGATAAAGCTTAGATTCAAGTTTCACCTTAATTCCAGAATCGTTGAGGGTCCTACGTAAAATGTCTGATGTTCCTTCTTTATAGGGTAATACAAAAGAGGGTGTGAACTCCTTTCTACTCTTTTTGTCGTTATTATCTCGTTCCTTATGTGTTCGTATGGATTTCTTACTAAACTGTATTGCTGTGGGTTATAAATCGAATAAACAAATCTAACATGGAATACTGCGTTTTTCTAGACATTTAATGTAATACTATTCAATACGAAGGTAACGAACGTTGACTTTTATCTAGGGATATACTGTTAAGCAGTAAGTAAAACAATGTATATACAAACACAAATCCTCAAAACGAAACGACACTCTTTTGAAATCTAAATCTGTATGGTATACCAGTGACTGACAAGAGTAATTGTAGACTAGTTGCATTAATCAATAGTGCACACTGTTCAGATAAATAGCTTCTAAACACCGGCCAGTTGTGTCACTCGTTCAGGACTGGGGTCAGCTGTGTACCCAGGTTTAATCATTTTAGAGGGCTGAAATGTGAAAACTTTCAAATTCCAACTAGGCAGCTGTTATGAGGTCCATCTATCTTTTACTTGCGAGTCTAGGTGCCTTTTGTGATATCCTGAGCTACAACATATAATTTCACTTATTGACGATAATAATCTATTTGAGATAGCCTCAGTTTAGTAAACACGTCTCTGTTATCATGAGACGACTATGATTGGAAGAAAGCTAGGGTCACAGCAAGATTCAAGTTCTGTCAACATTCCTACCAAACAGTTTTTAATTTGAGACCACTGGGACTATTTTTGTCTTTCTTTGAGTTATCTATCAACCTTTTCACTTTATCTCCTTTTCTATAATTACAGCCTGTTTTATGACTGGTTGTTTCTAACCCCCATGGGATTGACTCATGCATATGAAAAACTAGTCATTTTAGACGAGTGATTTATCTATGGTAGTATTTGTCTTAGATTGGTTTGTTTGATTTAGCTCCTAATAATGCTTCTGGAGTTTCTTCCTTGCTAAGTATTTTCTGTATATCTGGTGCAGTCTCTTGCAGGAAGTTTTAAAGTTGAGAACGTTTTTCTAATTTTATGGTATTGCTGAAAATATAAACCTTAATACTGTTTCAGTTTTGAGGCTTGGAGGGATTATTTATTGATTTCGGTTTGGCATTCACCATAAACTGACGTCCGTTGGAAAAACATTGGAAAACTGAGAG